ACTTGCTCGTCACTACCACCCCAGCAATTCGATCAACGAATCCCTACTTGGCTGTCATCAGGCATACTCTTAGACCTCCTTACTAAACCACCAAAGGCGAAACCCTTTGCAAAGGACCAAGCTGGACGGCCCACCCCGGGCCCACTCCTTCGACAGATCCGAGAAACTGCCCTCAACCAACGGGCTCCAGGTTACGACGGACAACTCCATTGCTTCGACCTGGAGTTTGGCAATCTCCTCTGGAGCTCCTTCGTGGCGCACCAGGAGAGGTGGCCAACCTTTGTTTTCCACTTGCATGACAGGTGACTCAGCGGTGGCTCAGCGGTGGCAGGTGTTGGATTTGGGGACGATCGTCTGAGTTCTTCAAGATCAGCGGGATTTGCGAGGTTTCTTGAGCGGTCTTACTGTTGCTGCAGTTTTGTGATTGTGGATTTAGACGAGCAGGGAAGTGGGAAATGGTGTCTCAAGCCAGGTGTTTCCTTGTGTGGGTTGACGATTCGGTAGGTAGGAACACGTGGGATGCCAGCACCGCACCGCGCGTGGGGTTTACGGACGATTTGAGGTGGTGTGGCTTGGATTTCTTCATTAGGATTCTTATTTTTCTGAGTCTTAGAGCTTGGATGGCAAAGAGGCAGCCGTTCGACTTACTTCCATTGCTTGCCGGGAAACAAGGCCAGTTGATGGATTTCGTCAATGTAGGCTACTTGAGGCTTTGAGGATCCACCCTTACAAAGAGCTGATACGCTTGGTTGCAATGCTCCTAACTAACATCGTTTGAGGAGGGTCAAAAGACTATTTTCCCCTTCTCTGTGGGGGGCTACGTTGGTCTGGGAGGATCTATGTGCTCTATTGGTTTGTCACTTTCTTGATGTTAATCCTCAATCACAGCCTCCAAACGCAAGGGGGGAAACCTGTCTTTCTAAGATTCACACCCTTTGATGTAGATTTCCCAACTCCTCACAGCTCTACAAACTCCCAACATGTTGATTTTTCACTTGATGCGTTGACATTCCCAGTCACAGGCAACACCTCCCGATGTCGTCCAATCTAGAATCAATATCCAGGACCAACCCAGATCCAAGCTCCTTCCTCCCTCCCTTCCTTCCTCCTCCTTCGGCAGGACGAAGACCGCGAGATCAAACATGCCCCGGCCCTGCTCGGAGCACGGACCGTCCTCGTGGGCACCCACGGCGGTCGCCTCACGGCGCTGGACGCGGAGGACGGAGCGCGCCAGTGGAGCCTGACGATGCCGGGCGCGGTCTTTGCAGCGCCGGTGGTGGAGGGCTGGAGCTTGTGACTCAGATGGATCAGGTGGATGGAAGCGCGAGTAACTGGAGGGGGGGTGCAGGGATGGTGGTGGGATGGTGGTGGGAGGTGCAGGGATGTGCGAGACATGGTGGCAAAGATGCGGGTGAGCTGTTGGGTGTGGTGAGCTTTGGGGGGGGCAAAGATGCCGGGGAGATGTCAAACTGCGTTTTGATTGCCATTCACTCAGTTGAGTCCATCGAAGTCTTCAAGTTGGGATCGTGACCTTCTGCAAGTGTTGGTACCATACCACAAAAGGGCGGGTGTTAATTCAGCTATAGGCAATTTTTAGCCGGTCAAACTCCGACAAGCGATTTCTCTCAGACAAAAAAGCTGCTTCACCTATCGGTTTCTGAACACTTGAAGGTGACCTATCGGTGACCAGTCGTGACCTAGTGATGGTTCTGAAGTGTGACGGTTCAAGTTGTGATGCAACAGATTTTCGGGAATGACAATCTCATGACGGAGGAGAAAGAACAGGTCAAGGCTCCTGAATTACCAAGGCCCCAAGAAATTCTAAAGGTGCCAGAAAGAAAGAGGATATTTTGAGATATTTTGCCACTTTCGCCATCCGTGGTGTAGCCACCTAGCTGCTTGGGCGCATGCGATTGATCTTCGTTTCCTGGTCGCTGAGGTATGTAGCCACCACCTCTGGGCAGTCCTTGACGAAGTTCCGGTGTCCGTCAGTGCTTCGACAGATCGGTAGAAGGTGGGTGGAAGCCGGTGGAAGGTGGGTGGAAGGAGTAGTGGTGGAAGACCTGGGGAGCCAACTTCAAGCAACTCAACCTTTTGCTCTTGCGCACCTCTAACTACTCAAGAACTATACTTTATACTCATTGGTGCAACGTCGCCGAATTCGTCCCATCATCCTGGCCTATCATATTCGCCGAAACTCGTCGAATTCGGCCGTTTCAGCTTGGAGAACGCAACTGGTCCTTCTCGTCAGCGACCAGCCACTGATCCGAGACGGGCAGATGTTCGGAGCCTGTGCGGCGGAAGGTGCCTTCTTTCAGTAGGAACTGAGTAGGACATACGTAAGTCGTTTCCCAGTTTTGTTCCAACCATTCAACAGGGCCTAGAACTGCTGAGAATACTTGATCACGCCTAGTTTCCTGCAGCGCTGGGGAGAGCAAATGCAAAACAAATATTCCATGATGTCATGATAACTGATAGTCAATCGCTTCAATTTCTTCACATATTTCAGGTTATTCTCCACTACCACCCCCATCTGATGTCGTCCCCCCTGTCTTCCGCTCCGCTCCGTCTCCGCTCCTGGTCTCCTTCAAGGACCTCTCCGCTCCACCGCGCGCGTGGGCGCGGCGCCTGTCGGCGCCCCTCTTCGCCACGCCGGTCGTGCTGAGCGGCGCGGGCGCGCTGCTGGTGGCCTCGGTGGACGGCGTGGTGCGGAAGCTGGCGGAGTCCGATGGGTCGGAGCGCTGGAGCGTGCAGCTGGATGGGCACACCTTTGCGGCTCCATGCGTCTCAGGGTGAGTCTGTGGGTGTTGGGTTGGGGTTGGGGTGTCTGTGGGTGTTTTTTGATTTTTGGAAGAGAGAGAGAGAGGGTGGTTTTCTTCGTGGGATTAAAAAGGAGAAGTAAGTGAGGGTGTCGGGTTGAATCGGAGATGAGCCAAGAGTGTTGTTTTTGGTCCGTGACCGTTGGATACGGTGGGAATTGCGCTGGGTTGAGCGCTTTTCGCATTGCGTTTGGGTTATAGATTCTTTTTCTCATTGCCAATCCGGCCGTGACTGACTCGAGTCCGCCCCGTTCCGCGCTTCGGTCCGCTCCGTGCCCCGAACGGCGTGGGTGCCCGGCGCCTGCAGGCCCTGTGCGGCCATCGGCACCCATGGCGGCTCCGTCTTTGGGCTGTCGCTGCACCGGGGCGACGTGCTGTGGAAAGCTCAGCTGGGCGATGTGGTCGCTGGGACTGAGCGAGGGAGTGAGGGAGTGGGAGGGAGGGTCGGGGGGGCGCGAACTGCGGTGGGTAAGATGAATGTCTCAAAAACCGCAAAGTGCACCCTTTTTGTTCCGATCACATGCCAGGTTCGTGGAAAAGCCGAAAACAAAGCCTAGGGTGGAACTTCATAGGTGGTGCTGCTGGTCGTTGCTCCTTCTTCCCGGTCTCCAAGATCGCACTTATTTTCAATCTGATGAAGAAAGGCAGAGTAAAATGGGATGGTCCCACTGTCCGAGGTGGGAGTTTCCAAGGGAATTGCAGATGAAGAGGCTCAATAGCCTTGTGCGCGAACCCCCAAGGCTTTTTTTTGATTCAAGGTGCATTTTCTGTGTGGGTCCACGCTGCTTTTTTAGCGCTCACTGAGCTCGCCTTCGAAGAACGTTTGGCATTCCCCCTCACGAAGAAATAAGACTCTTCTGTTCCCCTTTGCCGTTCAAGTGGCGCAAAAGGCATGAAACTCCATCCAGCTGGCTCTTCATGCTGCCGATGTCTGCAGGTCTATGGCACTCCCTTCGCGCTGGGATCTTCCACCTTCTGCGTGGTGACGCGCAAGGGCCGACTATGCTTCCTGGAGGGCCAGGAGGTCGGCGATCCTCGTCGCAGACGATCGGGTCATTTCAGCTTTTGGATGCGTTTCACGAAGCAGAGACCGGTGCTTTCGACCGGTGGATGGTGGATGAATAAACACAAAGGGGAGACCTGAGGGACTAAAAATTCAACAGTCGAGTCTGCGAAGCGCCCAGTCGTGGGACGGAATGCACGCCCATTTTTTGTCTAGTCTTGCAACAGCCTTGCACCTCAATAAACCTACGTTACTTGTTCGCTTGATGTTTGGTCGGCACGTGGTAGTGACTTCCAAGAAGATAGCACGGTAGTATCGCTAGTGCTGCTTAAAATTTGCTGCTCTTACTGGTATCTAATGAGATCTAATGAGTCTTTAAAGATTCCCTTGGCTGTTGTGTCCCATAATGCCCTTGACCAGGTCTGGGAGGCAGCGCAACTGGAAGGGGAGGTGTTTTCTTCGCCGGTGGCCTGGAATGCCACCGAGAACACAGCGACAGGCCGTGGTGTGAATCTGCGTGTGGCGGTAGGGTGTAGGGACAATCACGTCTACTGCTATCACTGCGAAAAAAGGAGGAGCTGCTACTGCCAAGCTTGGAATGCGCGGCCTTCTTCCCCTCGAAGATTGGCCAAGTTTGATAGTTCTGGTGACAATTGAACTACTGTAGGTATTAGGTACTTCAAGTCTTGCCGGTAGATCGTGTATGATTTTCAGGAGGAACCACCCATGGAATGGGGATGCACAGCACAAGCTGCATGCTGAGCCAGGTCTGTAAAGCAGTGCCCTCTGTATCCTGATGAACGGCATATGAATATAGCCAGAGGCCAGAGGCTTTCCACTTCAGCTAACGCACAAAGATACAAACACGCAGACCAATTGGATAGGGATCCAGATCAGACGAAGAACTTGGGAAGCTGTCCTTGCCCCTCTCGCCCCTGGACTGAAATCATGGTCATTTGTCAACAGATTCATCAGAAAATGATTTCATCCGGACAAATTTCAGTGCCAAGACAGCAATTTGCATTCCTGATGTCATCATGAACATGTGGGCTGGCAACCCTGCAGTTGAATTGAAGTAAGAACTCCTGCATCCAGAGGTTGACCATTTCCCGTCTCAGGTGACGTGGGATTTCTTCCTTCAACATTCAACAGTAGGTTCAATGGTCGAACTTGCAGAGGACATGATCTTGGATTTCAAGTACTCCTCATCTGCCAGCGAGCTGCCTGGTCCTTGGTGAAGCAGCGGCTGTTGAATGCAGAGCTTTGTTTCGACTCCAGTAAAGGGATACTCCAAGTGGCTTGGAGAGGTGTTTTGAAAAAAGCTTGGAGAGTTGTTTTGGTAGGCTGAGCCCAGGGGATAAGGTGAGAGATGGTGAGAGCATGCTCCCAAGTCAGGTTTTGAATGGTTTGTATCTCACTGATTGGCATGCCAGTCTGAGCAAACAACACATCAAAAGAACGACCGCTGTTGCAGCAAGAAGCACAGGTCTCTTGGTGACACCATAGCAAAAGGTACATAGCAATGAGCGCAAAAACAACTTAACAAAACCGAGAAGAACACATCTACTTGAATGTCGAGCCGGCCAGCGCCATGAATGGATCCCGCCCTTGCACGTGGTTTCAAGTAGGACAATGCAGAAATGGTGATACCTGTCCATTTGAACATGTCCTTTCGAGCAGTAAGCCAACGATCTCAGTTCCATGTCGATATGGTGCCAGTTGCACTCGCGCGGATTGCATTTTTGGACATCCACCAGGTACTGAGAAGATCCACAACCTACCTGCTCTACCAGAAGAACGCATCTGTGTTTGGTTCCAGAAGGGAAAATGCAAGAATGGGACAAAGTGTCAGTTTATGCACGTGCGGCAAGAACGCGATGGAAATGTTGTAGTGGTTCGAAACTTGGCAAAGTCCACTGATCCTGAAGTACTGGAAACCGAACTCTTGCAGCACTTCAAGACATACGGGTACGTGACTCGCATTCAGGTGAAGACAGATTTAAACAATCGATGCCGAGGATTTGCTTTTGTTGTTTTTGCAGATGCAAACTCCGCACTGGAGGCATTGAAATGCCCGCACCCATTTTGGAATATCAAACTCAAGTCCGATTTGCCAATGTACATTGAGGGTGAGACAAGGCCAAGCAGGAAAACCCATTCGCAGGATCGTGTGTCTTCTCCAGCCCGGCTAGCATTTACGAGAAATCAGACGGTGCTGCTTATTGGTGAAGGTGATTTTAGTTTTGCAGCAGCTTCGGTGGCGATGGGGTGCCTAGATCCATCAAACACGCTTGCCACATCAGTGGAACCTCCACGTTGCACAAAGCATCTGGAGTACCTGTATGCCAAGGGCATGGAGTGCCGAACAGATGTAGATGCAACATCGTTGACATTCACAGAATCATATGATGTCGTGGTGTTCAATTTTCCACACACCGGTGAGCCTAGCATCGAAGCTAACGTCACCTTGCTGAAGAGATTCTTTCGAAGCGCGGTGGATTTGCTGCTTCCGGGTGGCATTGTGGCCGTGTCTTTGAAGCAGACCTGGCCATATTCGGAGTGGAATCTGGAAGGTTGTGCAGCAATGGCCGGCTTGCAAAAGGGGGGCGGCATATCTTTTCCCTGCAGAGACGCTTCTGCGACATGGCTACACGCATACGACCACCGATGATATTCCCCACGAAGTGGAGCATCTCGAAGGTGCAAAGACTGTGGAGTTCATCAGAGCCAAGGACTAACCATGGAACCATTTGGCAAATTCATGCAAATTCATGCAAAGTCTAATTTGTGTATCATTGTGTCGCCTCAGCTCTCCCGGCCTGCTGGTGAAAGGTTCGCTTCAAAGGGTGGATGGAGTGGCTCCCTGCGGGCTTCATTTGGTACGTCACCACCACCTTGCCCGCAACCCCTCACAACGCATCGCACGCTCTTCCGCTCTTCCGCTTCTGTTGCGCCGGAGAAGGCGTGCTTCGTTGCCACGCGCTTCGCCATGTTTCGTCCGGTCGTCGTGAGTTTCATGCCCCTCGTCGTCTGCCTGGGCCGTTTCACGCCCCCTTCGTCTCTGAGGTGCCGCATGTCAGTGAGCTATGACGGCGCTGAGGGGGAGGTCACCTTGGAGGCCCCTCTTGAGTTGCGGCCAACAGCGGCCGGAGCACACGACGACAGCTCGAAACGAAGCTTCCGCTCGCTCCGCTTGGGTGTGGCCTGATTGTGAATGCATTCGGATTCACCCGTTGTTTTGGATCCCAAAGATCAGCGATCAACATCAGCTGGCCGATCGCCGATCATTTAGGGTTCCCTTGATGGTTGCCAAGCAGCTTCCTGCAACAGGTCATCACCCCATGGATCGACCTCGACCTCCAAATCATCGACCTCACTTTGGAACCCAACTCCTGGCACTCCGCAAACCTTGCCCACCATCATCCACAGACCTCCAAGCAATGCAGATGTAACTCTAGTAGTAGCTTGTGTAGCTTAAGTCTAGTACAAAATAATTGGTGTAAGTATATAGCTACGGTACAATGAGTAGTACCAGAGTCTAGTACAATCTAAGCTACTGTAGTCTAGTACTATAGCACAGTGATTTCCAGGAACTGACCTACAATGAATCTCCTGCGCACAAGGAGACGTCGTCGCTGCCGGGTCTGGACCCGCCCGACGCGGACGGTACATATCAGTTCGGAAGCCCTGGTGGGGGAACCTTGAGGGGGGTGATCGGCGGAACCCGTACCGTTCGTGGATGTTTCGTTTGAATTGATTGTATAAGGCGTACCCGCCCAAGATTTGGATGGCTTTTTATACAACATGAAGACCATGTTTTGCGTCATTCTGTTGCAAACTGGGCCTATTGGAGACTGCAAACTGGTTTGCTTCCTGCCGGCAGTTTGGTGCGTTCGTTCTCTCTAGGAAACCTTTCATCAGCATGTGCCGCTCAACCCCGATCTCCTTTAGGAACCCAGAAAGAACAGACCCCAGAGAATTCTCAGTGACAGCTTTGCCCGCCACCCCAATCACCCCAGGCACATCAACCGTTCCTAGTATATATAACAAAGAGCCAGAAACAGAAACGGGAGTCCGAAAACATCAGTTTTCCTCAGAGAAGCGCGTTGGGTTTCCGGGCCTTCGCCGCAGGAGCCTTCGCCTGGAGACCTTTGAAGTGATCCAGAAGATTTTGGGCCTGGAGGCGCAACGGAGAGTTGTTCCAAGTGGATGGGCGTCTTGTTCCTGTCTGAAAGGAGGACGAGGGGCTTGTGATCGGGATCGGGATTGGTCGTTGAAGGGCCACGGTCGGTCGGGCGCTCTAAGGGATCGAGATCCCAGCATTCCTTTGAGTCGCATTTTGGTACATAGGGCCATCTTCAATTCCAGAGTTTTTGAAGGTAGTTCTCTAACTCAGATGGTGAAAGCAAAGAGGACTAAGGCAGTCCTAATTGCGGTTGGCCGCCAATTCCAGTCGCTTTGATGAGTGCCACAAGCCTGAACGAGACATGTCAGAACAACAGCTAGTCAAAAGAATCAACATCCAGTTGCCCTTTGTATTTTTGAGAGATGGCTAGGTAGGTGTCAGAAGCGGCATAGTCTGAAAGTCTCTTTTAGCTATAGTTTTGCCACGCCTCCGAAACACATGATAACTCTTCTCTCCAGCCAGTATCAAGAGATTGGAGTTGGACCAGTGGTCTTATTTCATTCTCTACACTTTGGACATTGAAGACTCGAGAGCTCCAGCACACAACCTCCCCGGACAAGAGGCACACTTTTTGCATGTTCTTCTGTTTTTTTTCCAATCCAAGTGGTGGAACTCCTCGGGCTTAGGATACAAAAAGCGGAGGTTCCCGTTCACCGCTGCCTTGGCACTGCATACAATCGGCTCCCAGCCGTCCCAGAGCCAGCCACACGGACGATCCCCAGCTTTACCGACCCGCAGGCCCTGGCGGATGCACAACGAGAGGCGTGTGGGAGGATCCAACGATGCGAGCCGCGTGGTGCTCGGGTGACAGGGGGGCCCTGGCCTGGCTTTGAGCCCGGAGTGAGCGCTTGAGAGCGCTGGGTCCCTTGAGAGCGCTGGTCAGCGTCATGGGGTGAGCTTAATTGGTGCTTGGTGACCATGACAGTCCACACGAAAAGTCTCAACCTGCAGGCCTGCAGGTCAGCCGCTCGCAGTCCAGGTTCGGTTCTTGGGTGGGGACGGGTCATTTATAAGTTCTTATCAAGGTTCTTTCCAGTGGGTTTGCGTCAGCTTTGCCAGGCAGTCTTTTTGTGGGTCCCATGAACACCGGTTTCTGAACCCCTGGGGATGTGGTGAAAGGCACCCTAAAAGACTACGACCAGTTGTTCGAGCCTGGCGATCCTACTTGTGGTTTCACCGGTGGATCAGGTTCACCCAGGAACACCGACCACGCATGGGGCCCGGGCGTTTAGACTTGCTATAGCTCAGTGACTGGGTGAGTTTCAACATGTGACTGAGCTGCAGGTGGAGCACTTCATCGAGCGGTTGAAGGAAGCCAAAGCAGGCGGATCGCTGTTCGAGAACGTAGGGCCACTTCGGGTCGGGCATCGGTGTCTAGCGGCAAGGGGACTCGTTCCATGAGAATGTATCGGCTTGGGTTTTCTGTTGGTGACACTGAGAGCAAAAAAACGATACAACAACCTCTGGGATAGAAGTTGGAGGTTTCATCCTTTCCCTGAAACTCCATTGATCCACATTGATCCGTTGCGGATTTCTTTGTCCACGTCTGGGTGTTGGACATGCTTCTTTCACTGATTTGGGGCCCACTTCATGCCCAAACCACCACGACCCAGGGACTTCGAACTCCGCCTTCACTCACTCACTCCGCCTTGGCCTTCTCCACGCCGGACGACGACGCTCAGCGCACCGCTGCTCCGAGCTCCACCGGACGCCGTGAGGCTCCGACGACGCGCGGCTGGATGGACTCCTGGAGGATGTGCGGGGCGCCCATCGACGGAGCCGCGACGCCGGAGGACGTTGGACGGGAACCCGTCCGCTGACATTCCCGGCGATGGATGGAGATGGGGGTTTCGGTTCGGACGCGACGAGGGTGCATGTATGATAGATGTTTTTGGGTGTTAGACTTGATTTGGAGGGTATATGTTTGAGTTATCTATTTTATATTTGATTTGGTATTGCTATGTTTCCCTGTGGTGGGCTCTGGCCTTGGATTTGGTGACTTGTGGCTTTGTGCTTGGCTTTTAGGCTTTGACATTGGCATTCCAAAGAGAAATCAACCTATATAATTGAATAGGAATCTAAAAGGAAATTGGAAAAAAATTACAAAAGATCAAGCTGTTCATTTTCCATTTGTCATCGTCTTGGACCTCCTGGATGTGGAACCCTTGGGGCCTTTGTAGGGGCGGCACGGTCCAGACCGGGGACAACCACCAAACGCTCGAGACACCGACACGGAGGTACCCAAAGCAACCAACCAACCAAGCAGAAGCCCCAAACCAACTCGCGAATCGGTGCAGTCCGCTCTTCCATCTAAGTGGAGCTGTTTCGGGAAGGCTCTGCAGCGGAGCGCGCTTTAATGGCCTATGCAGCCCCGCCCGGCCCAGCCCCGAAGTCGGAGACCTGCGCGTCTTCCACTCCCACCGGGTCCTCCACCACGTCCTCCGCCGGTGAACGGAACCGGTCGTCGTCGTCCTCGGTCCCCGGGATCAGGTGCAAGGTCAGGTGAGCGAGGCCGTGTCCCGTGAGGCGTCGGTGGGACCGGGAGAACGAGCGTCGGTGGGGGTGGGAGGGTTAGGTCGGTTGGGGAGGTTGACCGTTGCATGGTTTCGATCATGCTCAATACATGGTGGAGATTGCCATGATTTTGGGGAGGTTCATCATAGCCAGCCTAGGCCAAGTGTGCTGAAGCGCTGCTGGTGAAAGATTCAGCTCCCCAAGACCCCCAAGCAAGCAATGAACTGACCTAGGAACGCTTTTGCCTTGCAAGGCATTGACGGAGGCTACTAGCATGAAGCTTTGGTCTTTTCCCGGTTCGTTGAGGCAGATTTTCAGCCACCTCCCCGGCCAGGACTGGTACAGGCTGGAGCCTTGTGCACAGGGGCTGGCTCGGCCTTTTGAAGAATGCTGTTGCTGGACAACCACACCAAGCCAATCCAGTGGAAAAACACGGTAGACTTCGCAGGCTTCTTATACTTTTGAGCTCCAGGATATAGCTCAATGGAAGCAATAAGCATGAATCTCTTGAGGTTGATACGGGGTTGATATGAGGTCCCAGGGATACGGGTCGGAGCAACCTTTGGCCACCTCCGAAGCGGAGGTGCTCCCAGGGGCTCATCGTCCCACGGGCGCATCGCGGACGACACCGAGCATGATCGCGATGGAATCGTCATCCCGACCTGGATCTACTTGAACATCAAGCCATGGTTAGGGGCAGTGAGTGTTTTCACCGCCTCTTTGTAAACAGATCAACATGGTCATCCAAGTCTTCGGGGCCATCCACTTTACCAAAACTAGCCCTCATTGAGTTCGACCTCATGAGAGACATATCCCAGCCATCTGGGACTACTGGAGTCTTTGGAAGCGGGGGGGTCGCGCTTCCGGGCTCTTCACGGGTCCCACCCAAGTCGTCAGGTCGTCAAGTTGGATCTCGTGCATCTTGCCAGCGTCAATGGTTCTTCTAGAGCCATTCTAGTTGATGTTAGGTTGTTTACACTGTTATTTTGGATAGAACGCATGTTGAAGAATTCATGATTACAAATTGAGATTAATATAGATTAATAATATTGATCATCCCCACCCTGTTACTGAGCTTTCGAGGGGGGGGGACCTCAAAAATGTAACTTACATTTTTTGGGGGGGACCCTAAATGTAACAACCCCCCCCCCAGGCAAGATTTCAGGGTCTCTGGAGGGGGGGGGGGGAGGGGGCCTATAAAATGTAACTATGGACCTCCCAGGGCCTATGTTACATTTTTGCACCCCCCCCCCGATGCCTTTTTTTGGGGGGGTGGAAGAAATGTAACAAGATACCTCCAAGGTAGTCTCACAGGTGTATAGTTACGTTACATTTGTTCTCCCCCGCTTTTAGCTTCGTGGAGCTTGCATGTGTATGTAGAGCATTTGGCTCCACGATGGCACATGCCGTTGAGAAAGACAATACCGAATTGGACTAAACGAGATTTTCAAAGATAGAATAGACATGGTCAATTCATTATTTTGTTTGGCTCTGGCTGGCAGGGATAAGGCTTGGTGATGCTTGGGAGGTGAAACATTGGTGGATCAGGCAACAGACAAGCAGGTAAACATGCAAGTTTTCAAGCCCTGGACTAACAGTAAGTTACATTTATTATGGTCCTTTTGTGAAGTCTTTTTTCTTTTTGAGCTTGGGAGGTGTGAGGCAGGGGGTTTGTAGTGTGGTGGGCCAAAGGATGCTGGAAGCAAACCCTCCAGTGGCGCACAGTCCAGGGAACCATATGTGATAATGGAGTATTTCATGCCTACGTGGAACTCACTTACATTTTTTCTTGTCCTGTTTGTACTTCCACAGTAGGAATTGGACCAGCTGTGGCCGGCAGGGAGAACGCTGGGCAGTGGTTGGGTGATAAAAAAATGTAACTAAGTGCGCCCCAGGCAACAGACAAGCAGGTAAACATGCAAGTTTTCAAGCCCTGGACAAACAGTAAGTTACACTTATTATGGTCCTTTTGTGAAGTTTTTTTTCCTTTTTGGGCTTGGGAGGTGTGAGAGGGGATGGCCAAGCGTTTCTTGTAGTGTGGTGGGCCAATGACTGAGAGATGCTGAAAGAAGGATGCTGGAAGCAAACCCTCCCGTGGCACACAGGACAGGGAACCATATGTGATAATGGAGTATTTCATGCCTACCCAGAACTCACTTACATGTTTTCTTATCCTCTTTGTACTTCCACAGTAGAAATTGGACCAGCTGTGGCTGGCAGGGAGAACGCTGGGCAGTGGTTGGGTGATAAAAAATGTAACTAAGTGTGCCCCAGGCAACACACAAGCAGGTGGGCACTTGCGAAAAGCGCAGAGGGAAAAACTGCTACAGCATGCTGCAGTTTATGACCTTCAAGATGTAAGTTACAGTTGCAGGCAGACTGCCTGGAAATTGTAATTTACATTTTTTGCAGATTGTTACATTTTCTGCCTGTGGATGCCAGGAAATTGTAACTTACATTTTCCAGGGTTTTCTGAGAAAGTGTAACTTACATTTTCCAGGCACCCTCGAACAGGAAAATGTAAGTTACATTTTTTCAGGTCCCCCCCTGCATACTGGGTAGGGATTATTGATCTAGGCATTTACCAGGTGGCCCGAATTCACCGAATTCACCAGTTCCACCAGGTCCACCGCGCACGATGACTCGGTGTGCCAGGTCCACCTCCCTCGCCCATCGCTGAGGTCATGGGGCGTTCACTATCTTCGGTCCTTGGCCCGAGCGCACCTGGGGCAAGTCTGCAACAACTTCAAGGCGACGAAAAGGGAACGCAGTGCGATTGGCTGGATCAAAAGCTGTCAAGATTGGAACCACCTGAGCCTTTTATATAAGCTTGCAGAGTTCAACATCATCAACGTCGTCGTCGTCGTCCTCCTCCTCCTCCTCATCATCATCATCATCATCATCAATCTAAACCTTCAGCGTGCTGTTCCTCGCACGCGCCAGGATCCTGGAGTGCAGTGCTATGGGGGCGAGATCTTTCGAGAGGTGCAGCACAGGGGATCTGGCTGGATGCTTTCCAGAAGGATTGTTGGTTAAGGAAGGATGCCATAGTTTTGAAGCTCAACTCACCTTTGTACAGCCCTTTTTTTGACCTCCCACTGACGCCCCCAAAACCCGCAATGTGCCAATGGATTTGACTGATTTGACCTAGTTACAATGCATCAGCACAAGACTGGAGGGACCGGTTTAAACGGACTGTCTGGGTGATCACGAGGCCTTCCCAGTTTTTTCCAGGCTCCCAGGGCCAGGTCGTCTTCCCCGCGGTCCGTGTCGATCCCCTCCTTCCCGCGGTGTCCGTGGGAAACCGGGCAGTGAAGCTTCCGCTTCCGCTTGTGGGGGGGGTGTTGGTGGAGGGGGTAGGTTCTGCTGGTAGGTCCGCGACGTGGCGGATGAGATCTTCTTGAAGTTGCCCGCAGCCAACCCCGCCATCCGAAGCCATGCCGGGAGCCCAGAACCAAGCATTGCTATCTTCTGTCAGGGACGAGTGGATGGGAGGTGGACATGAAGGCAGCATCATTTAGCCGTGTGGAATCCAGAATGTAGGATTGGTTCAACCACCAAAGTGATAGAATTGCAAAGTGGACAGCAACCAGAATTGATGGGTTTGGGTGACTCGCGGCCGGCCCTCATAGAACCTTGACGTTTGTAGGTCATTTTTCCTGGTTCTCTCCTAGAACGACCTTCCACAGCCGTCGATCGAGGCGCTTGGGTTGCTTCCAGAGCCAAGCCATAGATCCAAAACACCGGGTGTGAAGTAGATCAACTCCAAGTTGTTGAGCGTCCCTCATTTGCAGACAAGCCACTGAACACATATACAGCAATGTACACCTGGAACCTGTGTGACCCTTATGAACCGGCAGCGATTCAACATGTCTCTTTTTGTAAGAAAACAGGTGTCAGATGGGTTGCAGGTGGACTATAATGCGTACAAACCTACTTTCCTTTTGCATCGCCTGTCTCCACAACCGGGCAGGTACAGGACACGGTCTCTACAAAGTGCAACATGGATAGTCACAGACTTTATGTGGTGAACAGACCAGTCGTTTCACTTAGATAACTTAGACGCCCTTGATGCGTTGACCAGTTTGAACATGGTTTCGGGGTGCTTGGGGCGCTTGGTTTTGGCTCCTCTCCCACATGGAACGAGTGTCGCACCCTGCGGCCACCTCCCGTCGTGCGTCTAGTCAACTCCGATCCGCGCGCCGTGAGGTGGAGACGCTCACGGCGCTAGGCTTCTCTGAAGAGGAGGTGTGGGCCTGGGAGTCGAAGCTAGGGCCTGGGAGTCAAAACATTCAATTCCCTTCAAGGATGGCCGTTGCTTTCGTTTTGGGGGGGTACAATTGTTCGTTTGTTTATGCCGTGTTTTCTATGGCTGAAACAAAACAAGTGCGAATTGTGTGGTGTGGGGTTGTTCTGGATGTTTCTTTTGTAAGCCTTGAACTGTCGGTAGGGGCCACTAGCTGCAGTACCTGACAGGCGAAGGACTGAAAAAAAAAGACACAAAACAACAAGCCACTTCAGTAACATGCTGTGGCTCAGGATTTCGTTTCACCGCATGTACACACTCCGTTTCGCCCAGGGCCACGCACCTGCAAAGCCCGAGCGCTCGGGTGTCTTGGTCTTGTTGCCAGGTCCAACGAGCGTTGGAGTATGCCTACGACGATGTGGAGATGGCGGCCACGTATTTGATGGAAGGTTCCCCCCTTGGGACCGGGGTTCTCAGTACATGGCCGAAGACCATGTCGCGGGCCCTGTACTGGTAGCAGCTCACACTTCCAAAGAGAAGCAAGACGACACCCATCATGCAGAAGAATTCACTGTCTTTTTTCCAAGCAGATGGGTGACAGTGGAAATGTTGCGGCGGCTATACCCAAATGGTTGTTGTTGTTGTTGCTGCCATTTCGCGGTATAACACTTACAAAAGGATCATACCTTCCCATAAGAGTGGCAGTTTCAACTCAAGCAAAGCCACGTCAAGGACTCCAAGCCAATGAAACACTGACCAGAAAAAGGCACTCTCATCCAATGCCGCCGAACACTCGCCTGGTCGGCGGTGCATCTCACGCCTCCAGCGGCCAGGCTTGCCGGCCTATCGCCCAGGCGGAAGGGTCGGAGGGCTGAGGCTGGCGAGGGAACACCCACATTTGTTGGACGCGATGTTCTCCTGTCATGGAAGCGTTGCAGAGCTGTGAGGGTGGGCGTTTTGATCCAATGGATGGAACGGTGGACCGCGTTGTTCGCATTCGATCAACACAGCCGCAGACCGCAGCCTGTCGGCACCTGCAAAGCTTGGGACCCCCTACCCAGATTGTTTAGCAGATGAAGGAGCTCTACCAATTACCCTCACAAGGCTTCAATGAAAGACTGATGCACCGACCGCACAGTCAAACTCGCAACGGATTGGGTACTTCCCCCATCTGACAGAACCATCACCTGCCCATAGGATTGCAGGGAGTGGGGCAGGGTCCAAGTGAATATCGGGAGGGTGCCATTGTCGGTGTTCCAGGATCCTTTTTCCGCTGACCTGCCAAGCAGCCAAGCGTGTAGGCCTACACCCTGGCCGTGGCCATGCGCCCGGTTCACCACCGGCGCCGCGCACGGTGGACATGGCGGCGTACTACGACGCTGCAGGCGTTGTTGAGGTCTTGCGGGGTTGGTTTAGGAACAAGGTCTCCGCGAATGAATGAGCGCGGTGCCTATCTCAGGGTTTGTCCCATTACATGGGATAGACCCAACCTATCTCTCCGTAGAGATGACCTGAGACACTTTCTCAAATGCGGCTAGGTGGATGAGTGCTGGCAGCGCACAGCGCTGGCAGGGCGCCGTATGCCAGTCAGGGATGCCGAAAATGCCGGGCACTTGGCGATTCCGCCAGACCGTTTATTGTAGTCGACAGATGGACCTGCCAAGAGGTTTGATATTCAACAGGTATATATTTTTTTGGATTTTTTGGGTTCGCATGTGGTTCAGGTGGAAGCGACTTGATCTTTTTCAGACGGAACATCATATATACTTGTACAACACTTAGCGCCCAGTTTGCAAGGTATCTCAGACTCATAGTCTCATAGCGTCTATAACTTATGACGACAGCCTATAATCATTTCATTTCTTTCCATTGGTGTGCCATGCGGTGGGGTGACTTCTGGGAGCGTGAGGGGTGCGACAGGTTGAAGCCTGGTACTTGGCAGTGGCGTCCTTCGTGGCGGGTGGTCACCACGTTTCGAGCCCCTTCACCAGCAAGCACCTGCCTCCTCAGGCCGTGCAGCTGGCGTGTCCGGCAAGCTTCGCTCAACTGGAGCGAGGAAAAACAAAAAGACTGCAGGTTTGTGGATGGCGCTGAAGAGCTACAGTGGTTGTTTTATGGACTACGAACCATATTGGAGACTCTTGGAAACTCGGGGAGACTCCTTGGGGAAACGGTTCAGAGATGATGCAGAACTGCAGCACGTGCTGAATCTCGTCTTGGACGGCTGCAAGAATCAGAAAGGAATGACTCATTGACATGTGGCCAGACAGATCGAGGGCTTATGACTTGTCACCTGAACCTCTTTGTCCACCTGCGCAAAGCGGACGCGACAGCTTGTCGACATCACATGAGAGGTGCCAGCACCCCAAACCAACAGCACGACAGCTTTCGAATTTACCCGCCCACAATCCGAAAACGACCGGCCCCAACGTTGGGTCTTTCATCTCCACCTCCGAAGGCTACCGAAGAAGGAGCATCGGTCCGCATCTGCGCCATGCCGCCGCCCCGGCGCCACTTCCGGCGCCCCTCCGCGCCGAAGCCGCCCCCGGACGAGTTCTGCCCGCAGGCGAGATACCGAGATATGATGCCTGGTGAGATACGATGTCATTGGATGAATGAAGATGAACGAAGGAATTTTATGCAATTTTCGCACTGTCTCACCGCAAGAGGTGGTCCCAGGGGAATATGCATCTAGAAGGGCTTGTGGCTTAAGTTTGCGCCACTTCTTCTAAACTCACTGCATACTTGTGGTACTTGGAGTTGCCAATTATCATGGTTGCGCCTCTGAAACCCCGGGCCATATGATATGTACGGAAGTCTTTTGAGATCTTCCACTTCTTCAGATCCGCTTTTGCAAAGCAGATGACCGGCCTTCGCTGGTGAGACAGCGCTGATGAACTCTGTGTTGGGTGATCCAGAGAGAACTGAAGAAAGGCGTAGATGTAAGCAGGACTGGAAAGCCATATGGTTGCTGTAAACCCCAAACAGATGGACTGGGTTTGTAGACTCCCAGTTTTTGCCAGTCTTTCAAGGCTGGCTTCATTCGATGGAACCTGATTGATTCAAGCAGCCCCAGCACATCCGGAGGCCACTGCGATAGCGCCCCTGATCCCCTCCGTCTCTCCTGTCGCTTTGGGAGTCTGAAGGCGAAGGCCACTTCTCTCCCTCAAGCTGTCAAGGAGCCAACCCCGAACCTCCCCCATCTCCAGGGTTCCGGGCCCTGTCAAGTCCCAAGCACTTCGGCGTCACCCGGGCATCGGCCGTCAGGTGCCGTTGCCATGGAAGCGGGAGCTGCGAAAGGCGAAGACGAGACACGACGCGTCGGGACAGGAACCCACCGGGGGGGAACGGCAGGAGGTGGTGGTAAGTGGTGGGTGCAGAAGCCCAAGAGACTGAGACTCAACCCTGGGCCCCCCCCCAAAAGGTCACTCAATGCCCGAGAAAGAGCGGGAGGGTCTCCCCCTTTTTTGGACCTGAAGAACGGGGCAGAGGGTGCATCTGGACTTCGGAGGTCACTTGACGGTTGACCTTTCTCCCGAACTACTTGGCCTTGTCTCAACACGAGGGAATCACGAACCATTGGCCACTGGATCTCTCTTCTGCTTCCGACTAGCAGGGGTATTTGCACAGAACTGCATGCCCTCTACTTTAAACACACACACACAGACACGTACACACGCACACACGCACACACCTCTACCTCAACATATACCTCAACACAGACAGAATGGCCTGTCCCTCAAAACATGCCGTCATGCCCACCTCACCTCGCTGTTGTTCTCGCGGTCAGGTGCAAGGCCGCCTGCCGCGCTTGAACAAGATGCGGATCACCCTCGCGGACGAGCGTGCCCTGGAGACGACCGGAAGCCTTACGCTGATTGGGGCTGTGCGTTAAAACTCGGATACCTTGTGTTGACCCGATCCGATGCCGCTGCGCCTCCGATCCGGTGCGCTTCCGTCCTATCCAGTCTGAGAGGGGCCATAGGGGTGGGTCTCGAGTGGATCCAGCCTTTCCCCAAAGGATCAGTGCTCCACCTAAGGGCCATTGGGGTGTTCGCCGAAATCGGCTCTTTTGGTACTGAAGAAGGACTCATTCTGGTGGAATCGATTGGATGTGATTGGGAAGATTGGGATCGTTTGGTGCTTGAGATTTGGATTTGTCAACCTGGAGGGTACCCCAAAAGGGTCATCAACTGGTGAATGTCGGGCTTTTGGATTTTGGACGCCGGATGAGCGGAAGGAGCTTGACAGGGCGATCTCCGTCAGTGAGACCTCACACGGTTTCCTCACCACGAAAGGCCAGACGAAGTGCAGGCCGAGCATTCATCCCACTCAGGAGAACGGACCTCCGAGAAGAAGAGAGTTTGGTTTTGACATGTTTGGACCCACGGACGCGGTCATTCTTCTTGCGTTTGGAACAGAAAACTCCCGGAAGCACACATATAGAGATGGAGGTTTGGGAACCTGTCGGCCCGAGTTCAGCCCCTGATGGGCCTTTCTTCTTCGGCCCGGACCGCCGCGGCCGAGGATGGAGCAGCCCCAATCGTCAGTGGCTCACGAAGAAAGGCCCCGAGCGTGTTCTCGGCGTTGTCGTGGCGGCTTTAGGATCAGGTCGTGCAGGTCACAGCGGTGGCGGTCAGAGCCAATCAGAGCCCAACAAAAACTCAGAAACTGAGCCTCTAGTGTTCGGTCGGAGCGCAATCAGCTGGTACACCGAACAGTTGGCACTTTGGACATGGACGTGGGACGACCTTGTGGCCTTTCACGGTTGCGTTTGCCAAGCATTACCTTCAGGTTTTGGGACGTGGGTCCAGCTGCGTCTAGCCCCCAAGGGCTGAGGGAAACGACCACCGAAGTGTCCTGACCACCTCGTTCTTGTTTCTCGCCCGAATGCCAAACTGGCGGCATTCTCCGACCGTCTCCAGGCCGCCGGCGATTGGAGCCGATCGTGAGTGATGACACAGGGCTGGGTGAAGCTCAAGAGATCTTGGCGAAGGACTTGATGAGGGAACTCATGGCGCCTCGGTCGGTTGGTCGGTCGGTTGGTCGGTTGGATTGTTCTTGTCATTTTTTGTGCAGCCCGTAGAGCCCGAGTCCTAGGTCATAGAGTCCTAGACATCCGGTGAAGGAAGACCGGTCTTTTGCGTTCTTTTTTGGGATCAAGATCAAGGGGTTGGAGCATCTTAGCTTGAGGTCAGCCAGTGGGGAGTTGATCCTTTTTTTGGGGACTTTGGGGGAAGCTGAGGAAAAAGGACGCCCATCTCCGTGTTTTTTTCACCCTCCTCTGAGGCTTGCACTGGCTCTGATCAGTCCACACACACAACTTGCCAGAGGTCCGCAAACCTGGATGAATTCGATGTATCCCTGATTTCTCCCTGATGGCTCCCTTAGTCTCCCAACAAACCAAAGCAGCGTTCCTTTTGTGAACCACTGGTGTTGGATCGTTCGTTCAACCCTCCGGAAGAAACTGAAGAGGCTCCTGCCGAACGTCAAAGGGGGTCCAACTTGCTCAACGAAGGTGAGCCGAACACTGAACATCGGACCCGACCGATGTGAACCAGCGGGTGAGACGGAATGAACGGATTTTAGATCATTTGATATCCACCCATGATCTAAAACCATGAACGAAATGAACGAAATGAACGGAATGAACGGAATGAACGACCACGCGTTTTGGAACTGGACGTGGTAACACTGCTTGGGGCAGTCTTGTCACCATCTGGTGAGTGGACGTGGACATGCCGCTGTGTGCGCACCCATCTGCATCCAGCGCTGAGGCGGATGAGGTGGAGTCGCAAGGCACGAGATCGAAGTAAGTGGCTTTTGGTGAAATGAGGGAAGGAAGGGAAAGAGGATGAAGAAGGAAACAGGACTCAGATGATGAACATTGCAAAAAGGTTCGCGTTCTTTTTTGCTGTTCTCTTTACATGTTTCTGGCTTGTTGGTTGGTTGTCTTTTCTTTGCATGTTTTTCATGGATCGTATTGTTGCTCTGCTTTCTTTTGGTTGCTTTGACGAACGAGGAGGGCCTAACTAGAGTCCTCATCGTGCAGACTATTCAAGATGCTTCATTCATCCATTGTACTCTAAAAGATAGGTATCTGGGACATGCCAGACACGAGCAAGACATTCATTGAGGGTCTGAAAGATATACTGAACTCGACTGGAAGCCGAAGACTTGCTTTCCATGCAAACAACAAGGCGTTTGTGTGCCTTTCGGTGTTTCGTATACTTTACCTTGCATTTGATGAGTGTTCAACTAAACTTTGTGTTTCTAGCTTGGGCTAGAGGTGCAGGAGTTATCAACTTATGCCAGGGTGTTTACGAGTGGTATGAGAGTTCCTGGCTGCACACCTGCAGGCTCGCGGGCGCAGACCTATCGAGGCACACCAGATGACGAGGCGGGATGCTTCTCTCACCAGATGATGAGTCGCCCCCCCCCAAGTTAGTTTCATCCAAGCAGTGTAAAAGTGATCATCAAGAAGCCCAAGCCAATTCAATTCAAGAGCTGATTCACACCCATTTTGGGTCACGACCTGGTCGAAGCGTCAGTCCGACGGGTCTCCACCACCACGCCATGCCGCCCAGGTTCGGATGCAAAAGCACCTGTTAAGAGGATCATCTCACGAACCAGAGTTGACCACGCATGCTGCATGCATGTTGATGTGTTTGGACATGGCTGTGAAACCAAGTGAAACTAGTTCTTTTTTTTCACCATTTCCCTTGTTGCATTTCTTGGGTCATCACGGTCGTCACTTTTCCGCTTGGAGATGGAGGTCACTATCTCCATCACCGGAACCGCACGCCCGCCAGGATGTGCGCTCCGTCCTGGCGCACGAGCTCTGCGTCCGCGTCGTCGAGCCGAGCTCCGCGGAGCCGGAGCGGCCCGGAACGGAGCGTCCCGAGGCGCAGGCCTCCGAGGTGGGGCACCAAGCAGGCAGCAGCAGAGGTAGGTCCTGAAACTGTGGATTCAAAAAAGAAGGTCCCAGATGTCCCCAGTCATCTCTCGCTGAACTCCCGGTACTCCCACGAAAACGACCTCCTCCGCGAACTACACTGGAACACGCCCGACACCGGAATTCCAACTCGCGAGGGCCGCTTCCGGAAGCGCCAGGTGCACTCGCACAGCGATCGCCCGGCCTCCAGCGACGTGCACTCGCTGGTGCGCCGCCTCTTTGACTCTCCAGAGCCGCCCACGGAGGTGGCGAGCGCCGCGGCCGCTGACGCCCGGGACGCGGAGCCTCCGGGCGCGGACGCCGCGGCTGCGGGTGCGGCCTGGGGTGCGGCCGTGCCGGGCCGGATGTCTCCGGAGGCCCGAGGTGATGAGACTTCGTGTTGGGAAGAAGTCTAGATCTGGTGGGTGGAGTGTGAATTCCAAGAGGAGGTACCCCTGAAATCGGGTGCCGGGATCCGCATGTTCCACAGACTTGGTGTGGAACAGATTGAAATAGCTTTAAATAGGATGGAGGCCATTGCTCTTAGCTTGTTGGAGGCCATGGCTACTATAGGTTGGAGGCCATCGCTACTAGGTTGGAGACCGTTGCTACTATAGGTTGGAGGCTATTATATATACTGTGTATATATATATATATCGTATTATTATGATTGTATTAGTATTATCCCGTGGCAGGTGGAGCGCCTTTCGGAAGCTGACGCCAGCGCCGGCCTCGCCCGCGACGTGATCCGCGCGGCGGTGCCTTTCCGCCCCGCGCCGTGCTCCACGCCGCCACGCTCGGCATCAGAGCTGATGGTTTCGGAGGTCGAGGGGATGGGCGGTGTGGAGATGAAGGTGGCTGGGTGCCTTGGGAGAGATGGAGGTGGCTGGTCACAAAACCGCCAGGAAGTATACCCTTTGAGTTGGAGAACTTGCCCTGAGACTGGTGCCTGTGCAGTTTTTGGGTGAATACTTCGACTCAAACTGAGTGGAGGTTAAACCTGGAATGGAGCGAAGTGCAGCCAGCAACACGATATTGGATGGTATTTGGTATTCTTTTCTACTAGTGCAGCGCGAAGAGTTGAAAGATCTGGGGAGCTTCAAACAGCAGATCGAACGCTTCCAAGAGAAGTCAGATATTCGAAACAACACACAGCCTGGGAGGCTTGTTCTACCTGAGCTCCAGGTCTTTTGCCCCATACCATCCAATTATTTCATTTCAGGACACACTCAAGTCCCAAGTTGTGGTTCAATGTGCATCCTGCTTGATTAAACTGCTGATACACCGTACCCATGAGGGATCATCTAATTTTATCATTTCTACGAGTGCAGCAAGATTGGATGGACACCCTTCGCATGCATGTACGGAAGGTTTGCTGCTTTTCTCTATCGATTTGGTTTGCTGCTTGTTCCGGTCCCAACAATCTCCTAGCCCCACTTGGGAGGTTGTGGGAACCCCGTTTTTCATGTCGTTTCCTTTTTCACGAAACCGAAGATCACCAAATAACAGAAATTCATCCAACTCCATCAGCGAACAGGTCAGCAGCCATTCTCATGCTGCACGCTCCATGGCAGCTCGGGCTATTGATGCAGCCTTTCATCGTCTTCAGGCACCCGAAAAGGAACTTCCTTTACTTCAGTGGGATACTTCTGGAAGACCCGATGGAGGGTTTATTGTTTTCTGACTGTATATATATATATATACACGGGTATTCAAAGCTGTTGATGAGGGTCGTTTTGCTGGCAAACTTTGCCACATCCAACCCGCAGGTGCTTGGGTGTTCGGTGGGTTTAGTAAGTAATATTGTCCAGACAGCAGGCGCATCAGAGTCGCGTTTTGGACATAAACCAAACCAGAGTCGCTTTGCAAAGTCATGTTTGCTTGGTGCCCAAACTACTGGTCCACCTCTTGAGCTTCATCAAGGGTGTGAGTTCAATCTCGCTCAAAGCGACCCGTCAGTATGCGAACAAGACCGATATCCGGCATATCTCATTTTTGAACACAATAAGAAGGCCGGCCTACTGCACCCCTCCCAAAGCAGGTCCCTACAGCAGTGTCATCGGCCAATCCTCGTGGGCTTTCTATCCGCCACCGTACAACTAAGGCACGGAATGCAATCGAATGCCACTTCGCAGAGTCAACTGCCTCACCAATACATTCCGATGGTCAAGTGCCGTCCATCATTGAAGGTGACGAGGCCATGCAAGACGTAGCAAGAGATATAGTCACCAATGCCAGCATGGGAATTTGCGTGCTAGTCCTGTGTCCCAGCTTGAATCTGGGAAGACGGACTCAGCCGCACAGTCCATTGCCAGGAGAGCAATTCAGCCTCATTTGGGTGATTCCAGTGCTGCCTCACATACTAGACACTCGATGGATGAAATCCCATCTATTATTGAAGGTGATGAGGCCATGCAAGACGTTGCAAGAGATATAGTCACCAATGCCAGCATGGGGCATTTGCGTGCTAGTCCTGTGTCCCAGCTCGAATCTGAGAACACAGACTCTGCTGCGCGATCCATTGCAAGGAGAGCAATTGAGCCTCATTTGGCTGATTCCAGTGCTGCCTCAAATTCCAAACACTCCATGGATGAAATCCCCTCGAGTCAAGTGGAGGCTCGATCAGATATGCACCAATTGAAAGAGGAAGCAGGCTCCGACGGCTACCCTGCTGCTCAAGGTGTCGCAAGAGAAGTGATTGCATCAGCAACTTCACGTGGTACTGCTGAACCCCATCCAGCAACAGTGCAGGAGCAAATGCATTCAGAGGCTGAGGGATATGCAACGGCTCAAGGAGTTGCAAGAGATTGTGTTGCATCTGCAAGACAAGCACCAAGCCCGGCAAGTCCTCATTCACAAGTCCAATCTGAGAC